TCTCTGTATGCATATGTTCATGACGATCTTATGTTTCCTTCGTTTGCTTACTAACTAGCGTTTCTAGTCCTCTTTATACGTATAGTATGTAGTGTCGACCAAGCACGGAGATAAGAGAGGACACTTCTCTCTATTAATTAGCTAGCTAACACAATATATGAAACACCTAAATTAACCCCCCCAAAACCCCCTAAACCCCCCTTCCTATAAAAAAACAAAACCCCTAGCCCCTGAAATGCTGACGCGTGGATGCCTATTGGTCCCTGTTGGTGCCACCAAAAGGGCCTCCTGCCTGGGCTCGCCACACCGGTCACGTGGAGGCCCATTTGTCCCGGTTTGTATAAGAACAGGTACTAAAGGTCTAGGGCATTAGTAACGGCACTTTAGTCCCGGTTCAATAATCGGGACAAATGGCCCTTACGAACTAGGACAATAGGCCCTTTTTCTACTAGTGGTTAAGCATGTGGACCCTACGGGTTCGAGAACTATGTAGACATGACCGAGACACATCTCCAGTCAATAACCAATAGCGGAACCTGGATGCTCATATTGGCTCCTACATATTCTACGAAGATCTTTATCGGTCAAACCGCATAACAACATACGTTGTTCCCTTTGTCATCGGTATGTTACTTGCCCAAGATTCGATCGTCGGTATCCTCATACCTAGTTCAATCTCGTTACCAGCAAGTCTCTTTACTCGTTCCGTAATGCATCATCCCGCAACTAACTCAGTCATGTTGCTTGCAAGGCTTATAGTGATGAGTATTACTGAGAGGGCCCAGAGATACCTCTCCGATACACAGAGTGACAAATCCTAATTTTGATCTATGCCAACCCAACAAACACCTTCGAAGACACTTTTAGAGCATCTTTATAATCACCTAGTTAGGTTGTGACGTTTGATAGCACACAAGGTGTTCCTCCGGTATTCGGGAGTTGCATAATCTCATAGACAGAGGAACATGTATAAGTCACGAAGAAAGCAATAGCAATAAAACTAAATGATCATTATGCTAAGCTAACAGATGAGTCTTGTCCATCACATCATTCTCTAATGATGTGATCCCGTTCATCAAATGACAACACATGTCTATGACTATGAAACTTAGCCATCTTTGGTTAACGAGCTAGTCAAGTAGAAACATACTAGGGACACTCTATTTGTCTATGTATTCACACATGTACTAAGTTTCCGATTAATACAATTCTAGCATGAATAATAAACATTTATCATGATATAAGGAAATATAAATAACAACTTTATTATTGCCTCTAGGGCATATTTCTTTTAGGGGCTAGATCGATGCTAGAAAAAACTCAGCTAAGCGCTCAAGCTGGCGGTCCTGCGTTGGAAAGGCAGACTCCTCCACCAGTGCTTCTTAATTAATCCTGTTTTTAATGGTGCAAGCGCCCAAGCAAGCGCCTCTAAAGTGAAAATGCCCTTAGGGCATCTCCAATGCAAGTGCTTCTTAATTAATCCTGTTTTTTAATGGTGCAAGCGCCCAAGCAAGCGCCTCTAAAGTGAAAATGCCCTTAGGGCATCTCCAATGCAAGGGGCTAAGAGCCGGCGCTGGGATAGGAATCCTGGCCGATTAAAGGTTTTTCCCTCAAATCCTAGAGTCACCCATGGCATCCCGTGCAATATTCGGGCAATCTCCATTGCAGAGCGCTTGCCTAGATTCTTAGGCCTTGTACAATGGGAGGTGCTTAGGTGAGGTGCTTAGAGAAATAAATCAGATTTTCCTTAAGTACGGGTGCTTATTTGTACAGGATAGACGCTTAACTAAGCGTCTCTCCTGTAGAAATAGGTACCGGTGCTTCAGAAAAATCTGGTTTATTTTTTTAAGCATCTCCCTAAGCATTTCCCATTGTACAAGGCCTTAGAAAGACAAAAAAATATCGTTAAATAAAAAAAATCAGCTTAGCACTTTTTACCCAACGGTGAGCGCTAACGGCGGGTGCTAATTAATCGCTAAACCAGCTGGAAGACCTATGGCTACATGCATCGCTCAAGTCTAGCCGGGCAAAAAAAAAAGGACCAAGCACCTGCCTCCATCCTTTGTGCCGATGCCAGGTAAGAGCATGCTTGGATCCAAGGGAATATTTTTAGTCTGATTAAAACTGGTCTCTTTTAAAGGCTAAAGTTTCAATCACCCCTGACTAAAGAGAGGCTAGAACTAGTCTTGAGACTAAAAAAAATTAGTCAGGGAACCCTACTAAAATGTGGATTAGTCCTCTCTCTCCTCATTTAACTTCTCTCCTTTAACACATGCGAGTTCTGGATTAGAGGGTTTGGAGGATAATAAATGCCCATTAACTCGATTTTAGTCTATTTAGTATTTGTATCCAAACATGGGTGAGGCTACCAAGTTTTAGTCTCACTACTTTTAGTCATGAGACTAAAACGTATCCAAGCACCCTCTAAAGCGCTGGGCTTTGGTCTCACTGCCAATTGAGCAGGTTATTAATCCTGGCGCCCGGCACTGGCGCCCGGCGTTATAGATGCCCTTAGGTGCCGGGTGATTGGCCCTTTTTGTCCTCACGGCAAGGTAAACGCAGGTGCAACATGTGCCGGTTTCTTTGTTTATGGCCGCCTTAATTAGCGGTCAGTGTTGCGTAAGACGGGTGTTTAAATATTTTTTAATCTGATGTATAATTTGTTTTCGTTATAAGCATCTAAGCAAGCGCCTTGCATTGATTATGCCCTTAGAGCATTTACAATGCTAGACGCCTAGATTGGCGCTTATAAAGAAAAAATATGTAACAATTTTTTTTTGAGGAAAAATATAGCAAAATTTTAGAAACACCTAAGCGCCTCATTAGTGGAGATTGTACGTGATACGATCCAATCGTAACAACTAACGAGGCATGTGATACTGCAAGTTGTTAATATACATACATACCCACAGAGCCTTACTAAGTGATTCCTGACTCATCATGACACATCCCAGCTTCGTGCTCGCAGAAATTTTTGGAGTTTAGCAATTCAGCAATTTTACAGGTTATGCCTGACACAGTACAAATGTTAACACATCCTATAAATCCAATTGACATCAAATAACTCCGTCTCTACACAGATTCCCATACTGAGATCCCCTCGTTAGTTGTTACGATTGGATCGTATCATGTGCGATCAAAGAATCCAAAGTAATTTAGCAATTTTACAGGTCATGCCTGACACTAGTACAACTGTTAACACATCTTATAAATCCAATTGACGTCGAATAACTCCGTCCCTACACAGATTCCCATACTGAGATTGCGTGTTGCTCAAATGAATGGTGGTCGAGATATTATTAAGGAACTAATGCTAAATCAACACAAAGTTTCGAACGAACCAAATTTACACGCTGAAGAGATTGGCTCGCGGGATGAAGTTAGTGTGAGAATTTTTATTACAAGTCCTCAACTCGTGCGCTTTTAATATTCACATGTTTGAAATTGTACATTTGAGGACATCCATAATACTCCCGCCAATCCATATTAATTATTGTTGATTTAGTGCAATGTACTAAATCAGCAGCAATTTATATGGATCGGAGAGAGTACTATTCTTTAAAATATGGATCAGAGGGAGTAATTTCCTTTAAAATATTCTTACATGAACATCAAGGGGTTTAGCATTAGTTCCTTAATAATATCAAGGGGAGTCTGTGTAATATCTCGACCACCATTCATTTGGTTCATTCGAAACTTTCTCTAGATTTAGCATTAGTTCCTTAATAATATCCCGGTGAAATGAACATCAAGGGGTTTAGCATTGGTTCCTTAAAAATATTTTTACATGAACATTGAGGGGTTTAGCATTAGTTCCTTAATATATTTTTACATGAACATCAAGGGGTTTAGCATTAGTTTCTTAATAATATTCTTTAAATTATTATGTTATACATTTGATACAGACTGCAGGTCAATTAACCCAAACATCAAGGGGTTTTCTACAAAAAAATCATACTTAAAAAAGGACGATGGTTTATTAAAAAATACTACAGGGGGTTTATGCGGAAATGAAAATCTGACTTAAAATAGGACAGAGAGACTATTAAGCAAAACTACAGGGGGTTTTCTGGAGAAAAATGAAAATCTGAATTAAAGCAGAACCACGAGTTAGTTTACCGAAACTAAAGGGGGGGTTTTGTGAAATTCCCGACAGAAAGCACCATTGCCTTTGTTAGTTAGTATAGATGTATCGCTGACACGAATTTAATAAAGGCAATATATTGGTGGCTAAGATTTTGTTCGTTTCAAGTGTATTTATTTTCTAAACTATATTTTGCTAAAAGCTTCGAAATATCAAATGTAGAAGAATATGCGATTAATTGTAACGGATCAGTGAGGTGCGATAAGTAAACACTTCCTTTGGATCTAGTCCCTCCTATTCATAGTTCTTGTTGTGGTTTTAGTTTAAATTAGGAGTTGTATTTTGCAAACACACTGAGCAATCCTCCCACTATCTTAACATTTTTAGGATTATGTCCGTCCCGGGTATTTCCAATGATCCCGTCGATGGAGAGTCCTTTTTAGCTCCTATGTAAGGAGAGACTTGGGTGATGTCATGTTAAGGCCTATGCGTGCGAGCATTTTTTTTATTACTAGTCATCAATCTGTGCAGTTTTTAATATTTATTGTGTATGAAATTGTAACCTTTAGGACATTGATAGTAAATTTCGAAGAGTATTGTTGCATTAACATGTGATATTCTTTTTTTGCCAAAATAACATTTAATATTATATTTAAACCTGTAGTAAAGGCTAGGGTATGACTCTCTGGCCGACCGTTGTTAAACATGCACGTTCTTTTCTTTCGATTCGTTTGTTCCAAATGAGTCTTTGCCGACCTGTGTCACCCGGTGACAGCAAAATATGTGGGGCCAACCAACAACGCACACGTGATCTCTACCTCCTCTGCTACAAGTAGCTCCTGTTGGACCGGCTTGTTATCACTCTCAGTTGCTGGAGTTGGTCCGCCAAGTTGAGCGTCCATCCATCGTGGTAGCCATGGCCGTCGGCGTCGTGTTCTTCCTTTTCCTCGTTGTGGCTCTAGCGACCGCACCTGGTGGTGACGCGGCGGTGGTTGAGCACACCTTCATCGTAAGCGCACCTATCTAGCTTTTTTCCTTTGATAGTCTTCTCATCCTTAATGTAGTTGTTGTACACTTTTACTTGCACTAGAAACACACTCCTATCTGCACGTTATGTGTTGATTGGAAGTTAATTTGTTCTAGTGGTTTGCATGCTCGAAATTATAGGTGAGCCAGATGATGCTAAATCACCTGTGCAACAACACGCCGGTTATTGTGGTGAACGGGCAATTGCCAGGCCCGGCGATAGAGGCCAGCGAAGGAGACTCGATAGTCGTTCATGTCATCAACAAGTCGCCCCATGGAGTATCAATCCATTGGTACTTGATTCATATATGCATATATGCACTTTTCTAACCAGCTAGCAGACAAATGATCACATTATTTTCAAGAGAAAGACAGAAAAGAAATTAAAAAAAATGTGCATAAACATTTTCCTGTTTTCTTAGTATATGTAATACACATATATGCAGGCATGGAGTGAAGCAGCAACTGAACTGCTGGGCCGACGGGGCAGACATGATAACCCAATGCCCGATCCAGCCGAATAAGAATTTCACTTATCGGTTCAATGTCATCGGCCAGGAGGGCACGCTATGGTGGCATGCGCATGTCGCCTGCCTCCGTGCCACCATCCATGGCGCCTTGATCATCCGGCCAAGATTGGGCTCAAGTTCGTACCCGTTTCACAAGCCTGACAAGGAGATCCCCATTGTTATAGGTATGCATATGCATTTTTCTTTTGGAATGGTGCTCCGTCGGGTCATTCAATTACTAGTTAAGTTATTAATTAAAGCTTGTTATTTAATACATGTTTACAATTAATATACTTTCTTTGTCTGGATTTATTATTATGGGTCAAACATTGACCAGCTATATGACCATTAAATATAAAGTACAATATGCTATAAAAATTATATTGTTGGATTTGTACTCAAAAGAGGTTTGCACGCTATAATGTTCATGACATGTACTTTATGTTTTATTATTTAAATCTATGGTCAAACTTTTGACCCAAAATAAGAGCGGGCCTAATAAACCCGGTCGGAGTGAGTAGACATATATTTTCTGTCGCACACTTAGGCCGGGTAAGCCTACTCGTAGTGGAGAGTATCATACAGTAGTATAATGCATATTACACTAGTGTATGATAATACTTCATAGGATTACCCATAGTGGGAGTAACATAGAGTAACATAGATGACACCTAAGCAAAAAAAATTTGATGTGACAGCTCATTAATGAGGAGAGAGATAAATTGAGTAACATAACTAGTTACTCATACTATGAGTAACATGACACATATCAAGACAAGAGAGTTTATAACCTTATAAATGAAGTGTTGCATTACACCACACATATGTTACTCCCCACTATATAGGTAGTAACATAGACTACTATATATTACTAGTCTGAGTTAGAGCATCTACAACCGGGCGCCCCAAACCCGCCTCATACGCCTGGGCGGGCTGCCCGGTCATGAAATTCCGACTCAGATGGGCGCCTCAAACGGGCCTCAAACGTTCGGACTGACCGGCACCCCTCATATCTAGCCCAAAATATGGGACGGATATGGGAACACTCTGGCGTGTCCGCCGACCCCGCTACAGGTTCTAGCGGTCCCACCTGCAGCGACATAAGCTCCTTCCTCTCCCAAATTTTAATCCCACATCGTCGCACGAGGTTGATGCCGCTTAATTCGCCGCGCCGACGGATGGCGGCATTGCTTCTCTGTTGTTGTGTAGGTCTATCAATTCTCGTCCGCGGATGTTTGAGGGCCCAAATTTGCAACATGTGGTTGTAGATGCTCTTACTCCCCACTATGGATAGTCTAATGCATCATAACTTAGTACTTAAGATGACCTCGTTTATTGATTTGCATGGCACACAGTAGAACGTCATTTAATATGATCCGGTACGTGATTTTATGTTGAATGCTCTCTTTCTTAATTTAATAGTATGCCACCTCAACAAATTTTCCTGGTTGACATGCAACATATTACCTCCGTTCGGATTTATTGGCCCCCCTCACATTTTAGATCGGAGTTTGACCATAGATGTAACAAGCAAAATATTATTTATATGTATAAGTATAATATGATTAGACACTTCTTTCAAATACAAATCTACCAATATAATTTTCATGACACATATTTTATATTTTGCTATGCAAACATAAGGTCAAAGTTTAGCACAAATACGAAGTGGACTAAAAAACTCGGAGGGGGTAGTACTTCTGATGACACCCCTATTATGAGAGGTCTAATTTATTTTTTTCTGACAACAGGTGAATGGTGGGGGACAGACCTTGTTAGGTTGGACAAGAGATTCAATAATAGTAACTTTGCCTATGTACCCGGTTCATCTACAATCAATGGAAAACTTGGAGACCTCAACAATTGTTTTGGTAATTACTTCCAGTATTACTGATTTTTTCCAATGAGTATTATTAAAATCTTAAATACAACTAATGTGCATAGACGTGCAATTCAGGCCTTAACCCCGTACTCTCATAGATTCACCAGGCCTGTAATGTAATTAATACCACAATATATGAACCCCTTTCAGAATTTAATTAAATACCAGTAGTAAGGAACTTAGACTGTCCGTAGTGGTTAGTAGCATAAGTTAGTATCATGCATATGATACTAGCGTATAATACTACCTTTGTAGTGCATAATATCATAGATGATCTTATTTATTGTCATGCAAGATCGTAGTAATACAATATTTATGATGATAAGGTATCATGATATGATACTCAACCCTCTACTCTCTTCGTCCGGAAATACTTGTCCTAAAAATGGGTAAAATCAATGTATCTATAACTAAAATAAGTCTAGATACAACCATTTCTAGGACAAGTATTTTCGGACGGAGGGAGTATTTATGTAAATTTAGTGGGAGTAACTTAACCTAACCCTAAACCCTAAATCCTATACTCCTCACTATGAAGGTATCAACATAGACTAGTGTCATATGGATGACACTATTGTAAGAGCATCTCTAGCAGATCCCAGAACCACGCGTCTCACAATACGCGTATAAGGGATCCCGCAAATTGTTTTTATGATGCAGCGAGCGCTCCGGCCGAACAGATCTCGCAAATGCGCCCCGCAAATGTTTTGTCGGACGTGTTTGCGCGATCTGTTCGGCTATAGCGCTCGCCGCACCGTAAACTTGTCATAAAACATAAAAAATGCACATTTCACAATAATATCAACCAATGGAATCTAAAATAAATTCAACATACAAATATATAAATGTTCAAGCAAACAGATATGTCGGTACCTCTGTAAAGTAGTCCTCATGAGCATGTTGTCGCCGAGAGCTCGGGCGGGGAATGCATAGCCAGCCGACCATCGATCCGTGACACTTTTTCTTCGGTCCCGCCTCAAATTCGTCGATGAGATGCAACAACACTAGGTTTTCATCATCATCGTCGAGGATAAAATCTTCAATGTCTGAATCATCGGACGAAGACGACGAGGACGAATTCCAATCCACCTACAATATGCACACAAAGCCTAATGAGTTCACCCGGAACTAATCCGGGCCAAAATCGAGCATGAGCCGGCATGAATTTCAACAGAACATACCTCACGCGAAGCAAAGCCTCCTTGCACTCCCCTATCTTCTCCAGCCGGCCGACGCGGAGCCGCCTCTTTCTTCTTCCCGCCGCCCGCCACCGCGTCGCCCCTTTCATCTCCTCGGCCAAAGCAGCATCGTGATGCCCTCTTCCCTGCGCAAATGGTCGCCCGCGCTGCGAAAGTTGGCGGACTGGATGCGGCGCAGGGCGGCGGAGCTTTCGGGCGGCGCGGGGCAGCCGGAGTATAACTACCACGTGTGTCCTTTTTCTTAAAACACATGGGCCCGTCTACTGAGATAGGCTAGGCTCAGTGCAGCCATTTTGCACCTTTTTTTTGAAATTTGTTGATAGTATTTAAATTATGATCTCAGTAATTAAAATAACGTATAAATATTTGTGTGTTATAAATATTGTGGATGCCAATGAAATAACTTACTTTTTAAAATGATTCATCTATTATTTAAAATATATTTATGTATCATAAAAATGTTTGTAAAATTTAAATAATAACTTTTTAAAAAATTAATTAAAATATTATTTTAATTAACACTCTCTTCAGTAATATATACGAAGACTTGTATAGTTCAATGTTCATATAAATAAATTATTCATAATTTAGCATTTAAATTGCTGATATGAATATTCAATTGTGTCATATATTTAAATTATTATTTTTTCAATATAAATAATGAGTAAAAATGTATAAGTCTGTATTTACTAAATATTTTATTTTTTTCGGATTCATTAAACATATTTATTTTTTAATATTCTAAACATACGTATTAACTAAACAGTTTTTATATAATACACATGTTTATATTTAAATTTTTTACTTACTAATCATTGTTTGTATGTATATTTTAACACAGACGTATTCAACCATAATTTCATTAGTTAAGATTTACAAATATCTTTAAAAAATCTGTTTTATTACTTAGGTTTACAAAAAAATACATGCTAATAATGCACAGACTGTGTGTATAATATTTTTAAAACAATTATATTTGAACCTAACTTTATTACCTACTTTTTACAAGTATCTTAAAGATAATAGCGCGTGCAAATGGGCGGCAATATCTACAGCCCGTTTAAGCTCCACAAGCTTTCCATTCAAAAGTAATTGTTTTCAACTATAGACACTACATTGTCTAAAAAGAAACTATAGACAGTACAGTGGGAATGGTGTAGTGGACAGGGCGGCTGCGGCGGGTCTTCTAGAGCAACTCCAACCGGGCGACCCATTTCGTCCGCCACCGTCCGTTTGGGTCGGCGGGACACAAAAGGCGGCCCAACGCGTCGACTCAAATGAACGCGCGTCCGCTTTTCGTCTGCGAGCAACTCATTTCCGGCCCATTTTTTAGCCGGATTTATGTCGGCGCGGACACGCGACGGACGCGCGCGCCTATTCCTCTCCTCGGGCCCACCGGTCGGTGGCAGCAAGCACCATTTCCCCCCTATTTTTCCCAAAACCCTCCCGGCCGCGCGCGCTCCCGCCCCAGACACGCCATGGACGACGACCTCGACCTCGACGCCGCCGCTGGCGTCGCCTCCCTCGCCTCGTCCGGCATGAAGACCGCCCCCTCCGGCAAAGGCAAGCCACGTGCCCCATGCAAAACCGCTGCCGCGGCCAAGCCAAAGAAGGCGCTGACGCCTGAACAGTGGGCGGCGGAGTCGGCTAAGAGAAAGAGCCGGAGGCAGGCCACGGACGCGAGGGGTGAAGTCATCGCGGCTGCTGACGTCGCCACCGTCATGCAGCAGGAGGTCACCAACGCCCGCGTCGCGACGGAAATGAGGGAGGTGCTCTACATGCTAGGGTTAAAACCTAGCCAGCACTGCCTCGTCAACGCCGCCATGGCCGCCGCGGCCAGAACCGGCTCGTCCGCGTTCCCTCATATGGTGCTACCTGACTCGCCCCGCGTGTCGGCTTGCACCACGATACCCGGCTTTCACGTGTATCCGCAGGTCTCACGCCTCTCCGAGGATTGCTCGCCCGACGTGAGAGTGGTGGCGCCTTCCATGCCCGTGCCCGCGTCCATCGACCTCAACGCCACACCGGTAGCTGGTGGCTCGTCATCCGGAGGCGCGAGGAAACGCCCGCGGCAGATGCCGGCCAACGTGCTACCGGACGCCCGCAACCTGTTCGACGAAATGCCGGCTACCGGCGACGAGGACTACATGCAAAATCTCATCTTTGAGGGCGGTGCGCCGGCCGCTGGCTATGACCCCGACGGGACACAAAGCCAGGACGGCCGCGGTGCGTTCACGCCAAGCGCTGGCTATAATCAGTCGGCCTTCACACGTGATCAGACCGGCATGGACTTGGACGGCTTCCCACTTGACCACGAGTTTTCGGATGACTACGGGCAAGAGGAAGAAGACGAGTGCGACATCGAAGTGGAGCCTTTGTTTGAGGACGAGCTCGCCAACCAAGCCGCCGGGCCAAAGCCAAAGCGCTAGAGCAAGCGCACGAAGGCATACACGGTGGCTGAGGACAAGCTTCTTTGCGAGTGTTGGAGGAACATTGGACAAGACCCCAAGACCGGCGCCGAACAAAAGCATTCAACTTATTGGATTCGTGTCCACCGAAAGTTTCATGAGCGCAAGAAGTTTCCTCCTTACAAAATTGTGAGCACGCGTGGGTGGGTGTCCATTTCAAAGCGATGGAGAGTGATCCAACAAGAGTGCAACAAGTTTTGTGCCACTCTTGAGAGCGTCAAGGCCAGCCCCGTGAGCGGCATCGGCATGCAAGGCATGGAAGCCGCCCTCTTGTGTGTCATCAAGTTCATGCTTGCATGTTCATTTGCATCCCATTTGTGCCAACATGCTTGCATGAAAACATTTGTAGGCATTTCAAGCTTTGGAGGCATTCAAGGTCCAATTGCTATAGGGTCATCAAAGATGAGGAGAACTTCAAGGTGCAATATGCCACCCTCAAGTTGCGCTGGGGAAAGGAAGCCGTGGAGGAGGTTGGGGACGACGAGCCGGGTCGGCTGCAGGGAAAGACCAACTCCAAGAAGGAGGACAAGCAGGATGCGGCATCGAACGCCTTGATCGCAAGCATGGAGGGCATGATGAATAAGAAGGACTCAAGAGAGGAGGAGCGTCGGCGTTTCAAAGAGGAGCAAATGAATGCCTTCATGGAGATTCAAAGGAGGATGCTAGAGATGGATGCGGAGAAGCAAGCCAACATGCTTGAGTTAGAGGTGGAGAAGCAAGCGAAGATGCTCGAGATCGAGGCCGCCAACGCTAAGACCAAGGCCAAAGAAGTGGCTCTTGCAAGCATAATGACCGGGATGGTGATTATGAAGGTGAATCTCAATACGCAGGAACATATCTATTTTTTGTCCAGTCCGTGTCCGTTCTGCTCATTTTTAGATCAAATTTGATTAGTATTTGCGCACAAAGCAGACACGACCGGACGTTTTTTGGGCACTCCTGATCCGTCTCTGTCTACTGTTCGTCTAGCCTGGCCCACCTGCCATACACCCACCCACCTCCCACCTTTCTCTCTCCCCACCCACCCACCCCACCTCCACCCGCGCAGCCGCAGCAGGTGCCACCGGAGAACCAACAGCTCTCCAGCGACGGGATGCTGCGCCTCCTGCGACGGGCGCGTGGAGTCGCGCGGGCACGCTGTGGTGGAGGCGCGAGGCTCGCGCAGGCCTGAGCGGGACGCGGGTGCGCGCTGGCGAGCGCATCCGGGTGCTGGCGAGCACGTGCGGGCGAGCGCGCTGGCGAGTGTGTGCGGGCGCGGGAGCTCGGCGGGCCGGCGTGGGGGCGAGCGCGGGCCGGCTCGGGGCGGCTGTTTGAGGTCTACG